CTCCACCTTTGCCTTCTGCCATAATTGTCAGCTTCCTGATGCCTCCCTAGAAGCTGAGCAGATGCCAACACCATGCTTCCTGTAAAGCCTGCAGAACTGTAGGCCAATTAAATTTCTTTTCTTTATGAATTACCCAGTCTCAGGTGTTTCTTTACAGCAATGCAACAATGGACTAACACAGATAGTATACTCTAGCCATGCTGCACACCTTGTAGTTGCCTGAACGTATGGATTGTGAATACATAAATAGCACCACCAACTACCCAGTTTCTCAAGCCAAAAACCAGGAGTCATCCTTTATTGCATTCTTTCCCTCTCACCCTGCCCCCTCTCTATCAGGAATATTGAGATCACCATCTCTACATGCAAAATGTACTCAAAATTCATTCTTTTGTTGCCATTTCCACTTCATTTCACTCTGGTGCAAACCAACAACACCTTTCATTGAGATACTTCTTCTTGCCTCTCTTGTTTTTACTCTTGTCCCTGGTCCTTCATTCACTACATTATAGTTAAACTTTTAAACATGTAAATCAGACATACCACTTGTTTTGTTAATTATGTAATAAAGAAAATGAACATTCTCATACCTTGATCATCAAAATTCTATTGACAAGAGGCAATTGTTTAGTACAGATTATTCCTAACTTTTCCTGTTTCTGCATAGATATATACTTATACACACACATAGTATACACATATAATCTTTTAAAAATATAATACCTTTCATATGTGTTATGGGCATCTTACCAGATAAGTATAACAGTTATTCAATATTTTGACAGCCAAATGCGTAAAATAATAAATGAACTCTTACTTCTGTTTAAATAAAGTACAACATGTGTAAGAAGCAGTGGGAATTCCAACAGATTTGTGAACATTCGTGGACTTGATTCTGCTAGTGAGATTATTTGTAGAAAGTGTCAAATGGTACGTAGATGTTCACTATATATGTCATTTCTCACCCTGCAGAAATTATCATATGCTCTAGAGATGCTCTAGCCAGTGCAATTTGCTACAAAATTGAATTCTGTAATTTCTTTACTCTCTTCCAAGTATCTACAATGATCTTCCTGATAAACATTTTCTTTGGGGATACAGGCATTTTGAGTCAGCATTTTCTCATGATAAATTTCCTAGTCCTTTTGTACATACACAGAGCCAAACTACAGACCTGAAAAGCTACCACAGCAGATGCATACAATGCTGTACATACCACAGACAAAGCTGCTTTGCCTTAATACACAACAAAGCAATGAGTAGAAGATACATGCCTACAGATTTATTTAAAAAAAATAAATTTTGTTACTTGGATCCAAGCTACTGTGAGTCAAAAGCAAAGGGGAAGGCACTATATATGTTACTTATTTGGATCCTAGATGTCTTCCTTTGGTGGGTAATGCTAATTATCAGAGATTATTGACTGCAGGAAAATGTGAGGTCATCTGTGTTTTATCAAAAACTACATGATCTCAAACCCTCACTACTTGTGTGAGGGGTCACAGATAATTTTCTGTCATGCAGAAATCCCCACAAAGGTAGACAGAATGCTAATACCATGTTCAGCAATAATAATAACAAAACAATATATTGTGAACTTACTATATGTCAGGCACAGTACTAGTGCTTTATGTAAGTTATATTATTCAATCTTAACAGCAAAACAATAAATTATAATTGTTGTCAATTTTTTTTACAGATTAAGAAACTGACTTAGAGCTAGGGTGTAACTAGGAGCAGCTACATTCTTCAGCGCTTCTCTATAAAATGCCACTTAAAACACAAAGCGTTCTAAGCCCTAAAGATAATGCTACCATTTATTGATGAAGAAAGGCAACCCATTAGATGTTTATATTTGTTGGTTGTCAGAGCGTGGTTGACAGGCTCATGAA